AATATAAAATTTAAAAATCGAAAAATTGAAAAATCGAAAAAGGAAAAAAATCGACACATCGAAAACTCCAGAAGCCAAGAATCGAAATATTGAAAAATCCCAAAACAGAAATATTGAAAAACCGAAATATCCAAAAACTGAGAACCTAAAAACTCGAAAAATTGAGCAATGGAAAAATCCAAAAAGCAAAGTCGAAAAATCGAAACCCCAAAAAAACTAAAAAATGAAAAATCAAAAACCTGGAAAATCGAAAAATTAAAGAATTGAAGAACAGGAATATCGAAACCCTCGAAAGTCAAGAAATGGGAAAATCAAAACTTCGATTAATTGAAAAATTGACAGTTTATAAATGTCAAGTTTGAAAAACAGAAAAATTGAAAATTTGAAAAAACAACAGTTGAAAAACAGAAAATCCAAAACAGGGAAGTCGAAATTTCGGTTTCCCAATTTTCCGTCATTTCAGTTTTGTAATTTTTTGAATCTCTCGATTTTTCAGTTCTTCGATTCTTCAATTCTCCCGGTTTTTCAATTTTTGCGCTTGTTTAAATTTTGACTTTCGATTTATTGATTTCTCGAATTTTTGATTTTTTCAGTTCTTTGATGCTCCTATTTTTCAACTTTCCAATTTATTAAATTTTTCATTTTTTGATTTTACGATATTTTAATGTCTCATCTGGGTTAATCAAGTTAAAAAATGTTTCCACTTTTCGAATTTTAGATTTGCCGATTTTATAATTTTTTAATTCCTGGATTATCGAGATTTCGATATTCCTATTTTTTGATAGTTCAGTTTCTTGGTTTTTTGATTTCCAAAAAGTAAAGTCGAAAAATCGAAACCTTAAAAAAACTAAAAAATGAAAAATTAAAAACCTGAAAAATAGAAAAATTAAACAATTGAAGAATAGGAGTGTCGAAACCCTTGAAAGTCGAGAAATGGGAAAATGAAAACATCGATTAAGTGAAAAATCGAAAATTCACAGTTTATAAATGTCAAATTTGAAAAATAGAAAAATCAAAAATTTGAAAAACAGGAAATCCAAAACCGGGAAGTCGAAATATCGATAGATTAAGAAATCAAAACATTTGAAAAATTCGAAAACTTGAAAAACTGAAATATCGAAGAACTGAAATGAAAAATCGAGAAATCGAGAAATCCAAAATTTAAAAATCCAAAAATTAAAATGTCGACACATCGAAAATTCCAGAAGTCAAAAATGGAAAATCGAAGAATTGAAATATTGAAAAATCCGAAAACCGAAATATCTAAAAACTGAAAAATCAAAAAATCAAAAAAGTGAAGTCGAAAAATAGAAACCTTAAAAATCGAAAAATTGAAAAATCAAAAATCTGAAAAATTGAAAAATTAAAGAATTGAAGAACAAGAAAATCAAAACACTCGAAGGTCAAGAAATGGGAAAATCAAAACATCGATTGATTAAAAAATCGAAAAATTGAGTATTTATAAAAGTCAAATTTGAAAAATCAGAAAATCGAAAATTTGACAAAATGACAATTGAAAAACAGAAAATCTAAAACCGGGAAGTCGAAAAATCAAAAAATTAAGAAATCGAAACATTTGAAAAATTCGAAAACTTGGAAAAATTGAAATATCGAAGAACTGAAATGAAAAATCGAGAAATCGAAAAATATAAAATTTTAAAAATTAAAAAATCTAAAATTTAAAAATCGACAATTTGAAAAATCGAAAAAGTAAAAAAATCGACACATTCAAAAATTCAGGAGTCAAAGATCGAAATATTGAAAAAACCCAAAACTTAAATATCGAAAAACTGAAAATTGAAAGAAAAACTAAAAATGGGGAACTAAATCGGGAAATCAAAATATTGATAAATTGAAAAATTTAAAACGACAGTTGAAAACAGAAAATCTAAAACCGGGAAGTCGAAATATCGAAAGATTAAGCAATCGAAAAATTGAAAAATCGAAAAAGTAAAAAACTCGACACATCGAAAACTCCAGAAGCCAAGAATCGAAATATTGAAAAATCCCAAAACTGAAATATCCAAAAACAGAACCTAAAAAGTCGAAAAATTGAGCAATCGAAAAATCCAAAAAGTAAAGTCCAAAAATCGAAACCTTAAAAAAATTAAAAAATGAAAAATCAAAAACATGAAAAATCGAAAAATGAAAGAATTGAAGAACAAGAATATCGAAACCTTCGAAAGTCAAAAAATGGGAACATCAAAACATCGATTAATTGAAAAATCGAAAATTGACAGTTTATAAATGTCAATTTGAAAAATAGAAAATCGAAAATTTGAAAAAACGACAGAAACTCCAAAACCGGGAAGTCGAAAAATCGATAGATTAAGAAATCAAAACAATTGAAAAATTCGAAAACCTGAAAAACTGAAAAATCGGAGAACTGAAATGAAAAATCGAGAAATGGAGAAATCTAAAATTTGAAATATTGAAAAATGAAAATACCAAAAAATTGAGAAATCTAAAATTTAAAAATCGAAAAAGTAAAAGTCGACACATCGAAAAATCGAGAAGTCAAAAATGGAAAATTCGAAGACCAGAAATATTGAAACATCCCAAAACTGAAATATCGAAAAACTGAAAAATTAAAGAAAAACTGACGAATCGAAAAACTGAAAAATCCCAAAACTGAAATATTCGAAAACTGAGAATCTAAAGAATCGAAAAATTGAGAATCAAAAAAGTGAAATCGAAATATCGAAACCTTAAAAAAATCGAAAAATTGAAAAATCAAAAACCTGCAAAATTGTAAGAGCGAAAAATTATGTAACAAGTAAACTGAAAAATCCCAAAACTGAAATGTCCAAAAACTGAGAAATTAAGAAATTGAAAAATTGAGAAATCGAAAAGTCCAAAAAGTAATGTCGAAAAATCGAAACTTTAAAAAAACTAAAAAATGAAAAATCAAAAACTTGAAAAATCGAAAAATTAAAGAATTGAATAACAGGAATGTCGAAACCCTTCAGACTTAAGGAATGGGAAAATCAAAACATCGATTAAGTGAAAAATCGAAAATTGACAGTTTATAAATGTCAAATTTGAAAAATAGAAAAATCGAAAATTTGAAAAACGACAGTTGAAAAACAGAAAATCCAAAACCGGGAAGTCGAAAAATCTATAGATTAAGAAATCAAAACATTTGAAAAATTTGAAAACTTGAAAAACTGAGACGAAAAATCGAGAAATCGAGAAATCTAAAATTTAAAATATTGAAAAATCCCAAAACTGAAATACGAAAAACTCAAAAATGGAAAAAAAACCGACGAATCGAAAAACTGAAAAATTCCAAAAAAATGAAATATCAAAAAACTGAGAATCTAAAGAATCGAAAAATCAAAAAAGTGAAGTCGAAACCTTAAAAAAATCGAAAAATTGAAAAATCAAAAACCTGCAAAATCGTAAGATCCAAAAATTGAATAACAAGTAAACTGAAAAATCCCAAAACCGAAATGTCCAAAAACTGAGAAATTAAAAAATTGAAAAATCGAGAAATCGAAAAATCAAAAAAGTCAAGTTGAAAAATCGAAATCTGAAAAAATTGAAAAATTGAAAAACCAAAAAACCTGAAAAATCAATTAATTGAAAAATCGACAAATAAAGAGTTTATAAAAGTCAAAAATTGAAAAATCGAAATATTTATAAATAGAAAAATAGAAATTGTAAAATCCAAAAATTGAATAGGAGTAAACTGAAAAGTCCCCAAACTAAAATTTCGAAAAACTGAGAATTCGGAAGTTGAAACCGCAAGGACTTATGGTCGAAACCGGTTATCAATGGGAGAAGAGTATTTTAACTAACTATCTTTATCTGATTTTTTAAATTAATCCCTATTTTCCACGAATTGTCCCTAAGAGGGTCTCCAGATCTCCAGCAGTGAAACGCTACACGACCCTCTAAATTCGAACCATGTACACCTCTGCAGCCGTAATCTGATCTGGCATCTCTTCCTCTGCATTATCCGGCATAAACAGGCCAACATTCGAACATACTCAAAACCCACGCAGCGCGAGTACACAATTAGCAATTTAATCTGTACGTTATTTAATAAGGCCGGGTCTTTTTCAAACCCAAATGGAATTTTCTTTTAAACCCAATTTGCTTCCGCCGTATCAAAGTCTTTATTATATCCGTACATTCACGTGGACTTTAATTTAGTATTATTTCCTCTGGGAAATAACATTATCAACGGTCCCCGTTCAATAATATTTGCAATTATTCCGAGTCGACTAGTTTAGCCATTGTCTTTGTGCGGCATCAGATAATTGGAAACGCGGCGGAATTTTATTTATTGGCCGGCTCGGTTATTAATTATGTGGAGGGCGTATTGTGCTGATGCTCTGCATAAATAATGCCGGCGCAACAAAGTTTCGACGGAATTATTGGGGAAAGTTGCCGGCCATAAAAGAATTATTATACAGTTGGGAAAAAAGAAAAATCAGCTCGGATACATTCAATCAATGTATTAGGTCGTTCAATATTTACATGGTGTGCGTAAGGAATCGCGTCTGAATAAGTCAACAGATGTTTCGAGATAAGATGCTTTTTACTGACATTGACACAACAAATACAACAGCGAGAGAAAACACTCGGGAGATGTGTCATCGAGCTCCGAAAAAATTCGCTTCAATATTTATTTAATGAGGAGGAGGAATTGCGCGAGTACCTACTGGGTAAACATCGTTAAAATTTTATCCATAATTCATTCGTACTCTTTGTATTTTAGCAACTTTTTTTTTGTTTAAAAACGTCCGTCAGTGTTAATTTGATCGAATTCGTGCCGAATTTGGCGGCTCGCAATCCGATTTCCCTTTTCGCGCCCCTTTTGGAATTAAGAGTGTTCGTATTTTCATGAACGATCTTATTTTTCACGACTCTGCTGAAACAGATAATCCAATTTCTCCGAATAATTTCCCTTGCCACTTCAAAGGCGCCCTGTTTCGTATTAACGTCGCTTCCACTAATAAATCCATCAATTTGGAGACGGCGAGAGCCCTTACCTTGTAGATCCCGATGAGGAGGACTATGCTGAGGAAAATCATGAACAACTGAGTCCCGATGATGGCCAAGTAAGCGATCTGGACACCTGCAACGCAAACATAACTTCACTACGTGACGTAAACACGGAAGTCTCCCGAGATGCGGCGGAGGCTTTATGAGCATCACAAGATATTGGAGTTGTGCCTCGAATCGCATTATTTTCTCAGGCTACAAATTCCGGCCAGAAGTCGCTCATCAGAGGCTCGATAAATATTTGAGGAGATAGCGAGATATTAATCTGTTTAAGGGCGGGTTTGAGAGAGTGAGGACGGGGTATTTTTAGTGACAGTTAGCTAGTTTTTACGGTTCATCATGCTGCTAAATTGCAGAACAATAATAATGATCGAAAGTTGTCTAGTCTTCCAAATCCTGTGAAATTATATGGCTTCTGCAATGATATAAAAATCGATTTTTTTTTAAATCCTGTAAATTCATTTGGGTCATTCTGGCAAAACGATGGGAATTTTCACGAGGTCGAAAAAACTCGAAAATTTCATATCGTGCATTGAAAATTAGAGCTTTTGGAAAAATGTCAAAAAATCCACGAAATAATAAACGATATATCAATGAGCTGATTCGAAAAATATAGACTTTGATGAGTCCAGGTCAAGATCTTCGAAATTTTCAATTTCAAAATCGAATTTTTCAATTACTCCAAAAATGACCATATTCGATTTTGGTGATTCTAGAAAAATGGCTGGAATTTTCCAAGAAATGGTGTCTAAAATGACTTGTGGAACTCAAAGTCAGCAAAATAAGGAAAAAAGTCAAAAATTTCATAAAGCTGCTGAAAAATGGAGGTTTTGCCAAAGTTGCCTACGTCCTCAAAAAATTTTAAGATTTAGATATCCACGAGCTGATTCAAGAAATAATGTATGTACCTTTATGTGCCCCGACCAAGTTTTTCGAAATTTTCTGTATCAGCATCAAATTTTCAAAATATTCCAAAATTTTACTTCATTTTGGTGATTATGGAGAAGTGGTTGAAATTTAGAAAAAAAATGTCCGAAAATGACTTCTAGAAGTCCAAATTAAGAAAGAAATGTCTTTTGATAATTTTCTAAAGTCCTCAGAAAAAATAAAAAAATTCATTATAACTATTTCATTAATTGTAGTGAAGAATTGGGATTTTGGCAAAATTGGATAAAAGTCCGCAACAGATTATGAGATATTATAGTCATTGATGAGTTAATCAGAAAAATGTAACCTTTGATCATCCAGACCAAGATTTTCAAAATTTTCTGTTTCAAAATAAAATTTTCAAAATATTCCATAGATAGCCATTGCATAGCACTTTGGTAATTATGGAAAAGTGGTTGAAATTTCCTAAACATGTGCCCAAAAATAACTTCTAGAAGTCGAAATTAACAAAATTTGTCTTTGGATAATTTTCCAAAGTGCTCGAAAAAAAATTCAAAAATTTTATTAAAGTACAGAAAAATTGAGCTTTTGGCAATGTAGCATAAAAGTCTACAAAAAAATCTGGTACATTTGGTTCAGATCAACATTTTCAAAATTTTCTAATTCAAAATCAAATTTTCAAAATATCTCCAAAATGGAGATGTTTCATTTTAGTAATTCTTGAAAAATGTCTGAGCAATTTTCGAAAATCCTTAGAAAAGATAAAAAAATTCATAAATACAATGCCAACAGTGAAATATCGACAAATTGAATAATCGCAATATTGAAAATCGAAAAACTGAAAAATCGGAAGATTTAAGAATAAAAAGTCTGTAAAATTCCAAAACTGGAATAAATAAAATATATAAAAAAAATAAATATCGAAAATTCTAAGACTGAAACATCGAAAAATCGAAGTTATAAATAGAAAAATTAAAGATAAAAAAACGAAAAACCGAGAAATTGAACAATAAAAAAAGTGAAAACATGTTTAAAATCGATTAACCGAAATGTCAAGAAATCAAAACACCAAAAAATTGAAAAATAGGAATATCAAAGACCTGAAAAAATCGAAAATTCTAGAAAACGATAAATTGAAAACCCAAAATTTAAACAATCACAAAAACACTGAAGAATCGAAAAACTGAAAAATCGAGAGATAGAAATTCCAAAACTGAAATGACGAAAAATTGGGAAACCGAAAAATTTAAGTCGAAAAAACGAAAAATCGGTATATCGAAAAATTCAAAAACTGAAACATTGACAAATCGAAATATCAAAAGATCGATAAATTGAGAAATCCAACAACTGAGAAATCAAAATAGTCCAAAATCGAAAAATTGAAGTTAAATACTTAAAATTTTTTAATTAAAAAAATCTATAAAATGAAACCCTATCTCAATTGTGATGATTTTTTTTATTAATAGTGAGCCAAGAGGGTGGACAGCTTAAAATCCCTATTTCTCTACAAGAAATTATCACGTAAAACATGTTTTTAAGTATCGTGTTGTTCAAAAAATACTAAGTATATTAAGTAAAAAATAAAGCCAAAGATTAAGCCCCACCTTTCCGTGTCGAACTTTCATTGGTTGTCAGACCGAGGGGCGGAGCCTAATTGCAAAATCCACATTTCCTATAAGCCCCAACCACTCACCCACCCAATGTTAATTGTGGTGATTTTTTTTGTTCATCATTCATTTTTTATTTAATAAAACTATTGAAACATTGAACTTTAGGCTAAGTTACTCAAAAATCTACAACAAATTCTGGAATATAGATATATCGAAGAGCTGATTCGAAAAACATAGCATTTGATGATTCTATATCAAGCTTTTAAAAGAGCTCAAAATCAAATTTTTAATTTTTCTCAAAAATGGCCATATGTCACTTTGATGACTCTGGGAAAGTGGTTGGAATTTAAGAAGAAATATTGCCGAAATTAACTATTAGAAATCAAAATCAAGAAAAAAATGTTTGGGAAGACAAATTTAAGAACAAAAAGAGTGAAAAATTCCAAAACTGGAATAAATAAAAGATATAATATAAAATAAATACCGAAACATTAAAAGACTGAAACATAGAAAAATCGAAAATCAAAAGATCGAAAAATTGAAAAATCCAACAATTTTGAAATCAAAATGGTCCAAAATCAAAAAATCGAAATTATATACTGACAAATTTGAAATTAAAAAAATCTATAAATCGAAAAATTGAAAAATCGAAAAAAGGGAAATTGAACAACCAAAAAATAGAAACACAATTGTACATCGTGAGCTTGGGGGGGCGGAGCTTGATTTCAGAATCTGTGTTTTTCTACAAGAATTACCATATGAAACACATCCTTCAGTGCCAAAAGATAAGCTCCACCCATCCGTGTGAATCTCAATCGTGATGAATTTTCCATTCGTTGTCCGATCGAAGGGCGGAGCGTAACTACAAAATCCAAATTTCCTCTTTAAGTGTTTTAAGTTTCTTGTTGTGAAAAGAAGACTACGTATCTTAAGAATAAAAAGCAAAATATAAGCCCCACCCACCCACCCTACCTCAATTGTGATGATTTTTTTTTTCATCGTGAGCCAAGAGGGTGGAGCTTAAAATCCCTACTTCTTTACAAGAAATTATCACATGTTAAGTAAAAATAAAGCCAAAGATTAGGCCCCACCCTAAGCGTGTCGAACTTAATGGTGATGAGTTTTTCATTCGTTGTCAGACGAATTTTCTTATTGTAAAAAGAAGACTACATATATTAAGAAAAAAAAGGCCAAATATAAGCCCCGCCCACCCACCCTATCCCAATTATGATGTTTTTTTATTCATCATTCATTTTTTTTATTTCACAAAACTATTGAAAAATTGAGCTTTTGGCTATGTTGCCCAAAAATCTACAAAAAAATTTGGGATAAAGTTATCGAAGAACTGATTTTTAATTTTTTTTCAAAAATGGTCATATGTCACTTTGATGATTCTTGGGAAGTAGTTGGAATTGACAAAGAAATATTACTGAAATTATCTTTTGGAAGTCGAAATCAAGAAAAAAATGTCGGGATAATTTTAGAAATTGATCCGAAAAAGGTCAAAAATTTCATAAAATTATTGGAAAATTTAACTTTTGGCAGAGTTGCCCAAAAATGCACAATGTCGTAATTAACTTGTGGAAATCTAAATCTATAGAAAATGTTCCAGTAATTTTCGAAATTGTTCAGGAAAAGATACAAAATTTCATAAAACTATTGAAAAATTGAGCTTTTGGCAAAGTTGCTGATAAACGTAGCTTTTGATCAAAATTTTCGACATTTTCAGTTTCAAAATCAATTTTTCTAATAATTCCATTAAGGACGAACTTTCATTTTGAGGATTCCGAAAAAGTGGTTGGAATTTTCGAAAAAATGTTACCCAAAAATTATTTCTGAAAGTCAAAATCATCAAAAAATTTCTTTGGATAAGTTCCTAAAATGCTCTGAAAAATCAAAAATTGCGTAAAAGTATTGAAAAAATTTGCTTTACCCAACGTTAGTTACAAATTCCACAAAAAATACTAGAGTCACCATCAGATTCAACAAACATAGCCTTTGATGCGTCCAGACCAAGATTTTCAAAATTTTCTAATTCAAAATCAAATTTTCAAAATGGAGATTTGGCCGAAAGTATCCCGAACAAAAAATGTCTGAGTAATTTTGGAAATTGCTTAGAAAATATAAAAAATTTCATAAAATAGTGCCTACTGTCAAATATCGAAAAACTGAATAATTGAAACAATGAAAATCGAGAAATTGAAAAAACGAAAAATTTAAGAGTAAAAAGAGTAAAAAATTCCAAAATGGAATAAATAAAATATATATATAAAAAAATACCGAAAAATTCAAAGACTGAAACATCGAAAAATCGTAAATCAAAAGATCGAGAAATTGAAAAATCAAAAAAATGAGTAATCAATTGAATTCAACCAAATCTTGAAAGATGGAAAAATTGAAGAATCGAAAAACTGAAAAATCGAGACATTGAAAAATTCCAAAACTGAAATGACAAAAAATTGGGAAACCGAAAAGTCGAAAAAGCGAAAAAACGAAAAATCGAAAATTTCAAAAAGTAAAACATTGAACAATCGAAATATCAAAATATCTAGAAATTAAAAAATCCAACAACTGG